CACCAGACTCTCTCCATCAGTGCTCCCTCAAAACCATTCCAATGAAGTGTAACTAAGTCTAATTAAAATCTAATTAAAAATAGTGTTTGCTAGGCATTTGGTAGCAAGGCTTTCTCTCCAATTGGATTGCCTTCCATAACCCCCTCTTAAAGAGAAATCATGGAGAATCCAATAATAATACCAACTTTCCTCTTTGCTAATTGCCTAAAATATTCTCAAATATATATTGTTTTAACTTTGATTTATGTGATTATCCCTGAATCACTAAAAGAAACAGTTCATCTCTCTTATATTTGATTTCAGCTTAAACAGTTATGTAACTGCATAGATAAGTCCATATACAATACAGCGTACTTTAATGCAAGGAGCTTGAAACTTGAGAACAAGTTCTGGCATTTCTACTGACTTGCACTTGAACTTAGGCAAAGCTAACGAGTTACGGTGTTTTCATCGAAAACTGGAGATTTGAAACCATATAGGAAACATAGCCACAGTTCACGTTTACATAGTATAGACGTTGGGCTTGTAAAATTAATATTAAAGAAAAAGATAAATTATGCAGATAAAATAATATGGTAAAAGAGCTGCTCATTTGCAGTAATATGTTCACATGAGCCAGGCACTCTCTTTTCATCATGCTATAAGACAGTTTCTTTCTCAGATTTTTCAAGGACCAGTAGAAATTCTTGTTAGGACCAACGTGCTCTGTCTGGGTGAAATCTACCTGAGGCCATTAAATCTCTCTAAACAAAGGTAGGAGTTCCTGCTCCAGGTTTGGCAAGATGAACCCACTCTGTCTTTTGTGCATTTGGGTCCTTGAACTTATTCCATATTGACTATGGCCATTGAGGCAATAAATCAGTGGCATAAGATGAACTGAAAACTCCCCAAGAGTAACATTTGGAATGAAAAAAATAATAAAGTGTCTGCAGTGAAGTCCTGATGAATAACTTCAATGATTACATATAGCATACACCACCAGAATATAAGCTTCAAGGGGGCAGGTGTGTTTGTTTTATTCACTGTTGTGTGCTCTGCCTCTAGAATTATGTCTGGCTCATGGTAAGGGAGTAAGCGTATAGTAAACATTTGTTGAGTGAAGAATAGATATTAAAATGAAGAGACAATTTGTGACTAAAAAACAAAGTTGTAAGTTTTTGTACACTGAAGCAAAAATACAAGCAAATATGTATGAAGCAGAGTTTGGAACTTTGGGGATCCTGAAGGTTAAACATTTTAATTAAAATGACGTTGTGGCCAACTTGATAATTAAAATAAAATCCTAAAATAAAATAAAATAAAATAAAATCCACTTGGATCTCTCTTAAGGAAATAAGAGCATTTGGACAACTATATTGTCATTTAACTTTTCATGCCATTGACATAAATTTCCACAGTATTTCTCTTTATATGCTATATGTACTTGCATAATAGAATTATATTTTTAGTACTTTGTTCACAAATCACAAAAATTGTTTACTTGATTCCCTCTCTGGGAAATAGGAAAGGCGGATACCACTATGGCTAAGTCACAGAAGAAGAGATTTGGGTTCAGAAATACTAAATGTGTAACAGCGATACACCACATTAACTACTGAGTCCCTGTTCAGGAATAAAAAGCCAATAATGAAAAAAAAGTAAAAACAAAACAACAAAACAATTATAATGCAACTAATGTACCCATATACTGCTCAAAGTACTTTCATTTTCTATTTTATGTACTCTTACCAATGTCACTATGAAGTTGCAATTGTCTTAGTTGGATTTTTCAGGTGCAGAATGAAGACTTGGTGAGACTGAATAACTCTTGCTGACGTAGCTCGTAAGTCTTGGAAAGGGGACTTGAACCTGTGCTTTGTGGCACAAATCCTGTGGCAGAAAGCCTGGCTCCCAAAACTTGACTCTTAACTATGCTTTTAGAGTACCACCTCTACGACTGTGTATATTGAGGTGATATGTAAAAATATAGAGATGTAAATATATTTTTCTTTTATGATCATTATTAGCAATATGATGCATCTGTCTCAGAAATTGCATATGCACATGGCATTTTTTGTTTTGTTTTGTTTTCTTTTCTTTTCCACTAATGGATGGAGGTATGCCGCTGTCTATTCAGATCGTCCTGACCCTGCTGTAACTATTAGTTATAGGTTGGCTGGCCATATGGCTCTGAAGCTCAAGTGTGGGGAAAATAGTAGTGGGAATTAACTGGTCGTTAAGGTACACTGGAGTATACAGAGAAGAAGGGAGGACCCACCATCCCCTAGAGAATTCCCATCAGCTGGCCATATTTCTCTTCCATGAAGGATACTGGGAAGCCTCTGGAGTGTAGTAGTAATGTTTTGGGTACCTCCATCCTATAGGATCCCCTTCATGTCTCTAAAAGGTGGTGTGAGGTTGGTTAAACTTTTCAACTGATATCCACTAAAAGTGTGAGAACCATGTACATGCCCATAGTAAATGACCTCTCTGATATTTAGCAGTCATGAATTTTATCTTAAATTTTATACCTTTCATTGGCTTTCCTCAATAGCTCAAGTTGAAGCAGACACTCACAAGAAAAGTAGACTGCTAATGAGTTCATTGAAGCATTCAAGTGCCTTTTCATATAAACGCAAGGCAAAGCGCTTAACATTAATGCTGTACTTCAGATATTTTAAGTTATTGGAAAACATGGAAGTCAGTAATCAAGAGTCCCTTTTTGTGGTTGGTTGGTTGGATTGCTCATGGCTTGTAGGAAATAGAAGAAAAGATGAGAGATGAAAAAGAATGCTTTTCAATTCTCTTTCCTTTCCTACGCACACGCACGCGCGCGCACACACACACACACACACACACACACACACTTCACACACTTGCTTAGTCTCTAACTCCTTTGATATTTTGTATTCAGTGTTGGACTTGGCTGACATAAGAAACTCCCCGTAGAGAGGTAGGTTTCCTCTGAGCTAAGGCTGGTTTCCATGGTGCTGAAATGTCCATTTAAAAGTAAGCATAGTCCTGAGGTACACACAGGGTAGTGCTCATGCCAACCACAGGTCACTGGGAGTCAGAAGGAGTTAAGACATTTGTACTGCACATAAACAGCACCAGGCCATGCAATTTTGCTTTATGCATTTCGGCTCACATTTAGAGAAAGGAAATCTCATTATCTTACACCATATATTTTAAGGTCAGTGAATCATGTTGGGTTGTTTTCACTTTGAAAACCACTTTTAAATGCATGAGTGTAATTGCTTGGATAAATACTCGGCTCTGTGAACAAGGATGTTTTAAAACATCCTTTTCCACTCCTTCTGGGAACTCCTTTAGGTTTGGGTAATGCCACCTTAAGTTTATTATAGAGGAAGGAGGACTATCGGCTGGCATAGCCCGTTCTAGTATGTCTCGATTTGTCTGTTTTAAAATATATAAGGTATAAGCAAAACACCAATTAAGTCAGTAAATGTCGAAAATTGTAACACACATTCATCATTAATTTAGTATTGTTTAAAAGAACTTGTTCTTGGGTTGTGGAGGGTTGATTGCATCCGGGGAGGGGGGAACAAGGATATTAAGGCTGGAATATTTCTAAGACGAAGGATATTTTAGTTATGAGTGGTATTTTGTGTGTGTGTGCATGAAAGGAATACTCTGAAACTCTTTTAATGGGCAGTCTAAATTATCCAAAAATGCACATTATTATTATTATCTATAATCTAGAGAAATACATGTGCAGTAAAAAAGAGTATTAGGTATCTTTTCTTTTCTTAAAAATTAGATCACATATGCCTAAAGAAAATGCATTTCAAAGCAGAAACTTTTTTTTTTTTTCCTTTACCTAATAGCCATGCTAAGTGACAAGAACTAGTTTCTGGATCTTTGGAAAGAGGTTGGCTGATTGCAGGCCAGAATCAGTAAAGTTATTGAGAAATTTCAGCTCGTCACTTGGTGAGTGCTCTGCACTGTTCTGTGCGCGCTCTGTGGGTTCCTGGAAAGGGTGTGAATGGGAAGCCTTTAGAGCTCAGGGCATCACTCTTGCTACCTCAAGCGGGGAGACTGGAGAGGCTGGGAGGCCCACAGGGTGTCTGGGCCTCACCTGTGGCTCCCTCTTGGTGTCCCTAAGAAGCACACTTGGTTGGGGAAGGAGGAGGACAGACTAAGGGGATAGAAATTGGGTTTGGGGAGGACATTAAAAAGAAGGCAAAGAGCTTTTTGAACGCCCCCGCGCCCAACAGCCTAGAAATCACTCAGTGCCTCCACTGCCCCAAGGTGGTGGGTGCTGTGCATGTAGGCATAGGAATCCACAAACTAGCAAAGCCCCCCGCCGTCCCACCTCTTCCATTGTCCTTGCCTCTTGCTCTCTCTAGGCTGCCCCAGGGTTCCCACATTCAGCCTCCCAGTCTCTCTATCCCGTCTGCAGCGGGAGTCCGGAGTCCTCCAGGGAGTCATCCTGGGAGTCATCCCGCTCCTGCTGCTGCTGGACCGTGCTCTCCACTCTTGAACTCTCAGCCACAGAGCCCGTCCCAGGCTCTGCCCCCCTCCCCCGTCTTGGTGGAACCCTCCAGACTTTGGAGTCTCTCCACGTAGAAGTACCCAACTTAGGCATGAAGACTTGGGAGGCTCGGGGTTACCAGGTTCGGGGAGATCCGGACGTGCCTGCGGTCGCCAGGCGCCCGGGCCGCCCCGGGTGTTGGGCGGGAGCGGGCGATGCTGCGCCTCGGGGCCGCCCGACGTCCGCCGGGACGGGGAGGGCGCATCTCCGCGCGCAGAGCCGCTGCCCCCGGCCCCCCGCACGCCCGCTCCGCGTCCCCGAAGCCCGGATTGAAACACCCGCCAACCGCCCCCCGCGGGGACGCCCGGCACTCGCCGGGAGGGCGGCAGCGACGCGGCTTCCCCTTCCTCGGAGCCCCCGCGCGCGCTGCCCTCGCCGCCCCCGGCTGTGCCCCCGCGCCCGCGCGCCGCCTCCCCGGGCCCCGTCCCGCCGGCCCGCAGCCCCGCGCGCTCCCGGGCTCACTCACCGATCCTGAGCACCTGCGGCGCGGTCTGCGGGAGCACGCAGCAGAGGAAATAGACGAGCGCCCGGCCGGCGTCCCTGGTCCCGAGCCCCGGCTGGGCGAGCAGCGCGCGGCGCTCCATCTTCCCGGCTTCTTCACTTCCCGCCGAGCCCCAGCCGCGGCCGCACGCCCGCCAGATGCAGCCCGCTCGGCCCGGCGCCCTGCCTCATCCTCCCCGGGATGCTCGGCGTCCGCGCCCTGCGCTCCCCGCGGACCGGATCGTGGGAACGCGGCGCCGGCGGCGGCGCTGGGCTGCTCGGGCTCCGGGCGGCTGCCGCTAGCCCATCACCGCTCCTCCCCGCCCCCCCCCCCCCCCGGCCGCGGACCGCGGAGGGTCGGCGCGGAGCCCCGCGGAGGAAAGTTGCTGCCTCGATTTGCGGGCTCGGTCTTCCTCCTCCGTCCTCCGGTCTGCTGGAAAGTGGGGAGGTGGGGTGGGGGGGGGGTAGGTGGAGGGGGCAGCGAGCCGAGGAGCGGCGAGGGGGAAGGAAGGCGAAGGAGGATGGAGAAAGGGCACCGGGTGAGTTGGCGCAGGGGCTCTGAGCGAGCAGGAGGGGCTCCCGCAGGTTAACTGGGCTCGGAGCCACGCTCTGGCCTCCCTCAATCCCTGCTCGCCCCCCGCCCCCCTCGCTGGCCCCACCCTTGATTTCCTGCCCGCCCCGACACCACCGAGCCGGGCACTCACACACGCACACACGCACGCACATTCTCCCTCTGCGTTCTCAACTTTGCGCGGTGCAGCTGGAAAGTCGGGCGAGTGTTGCAGACTCGGCACCGAGGAAATCTTACCTGCCGGTGGAACGGAGGCAAAGTCTGCGCCGCGGGCCGCGCGTGGCAGAGGGACCTCCTAGGGAACGGCCCCGCGTGCCTCTTAGGGGGTCGTGGAGGCCACCAGCTACGCCTCTTCCCATCACCGGCTGCAGGGTTGCCTTCTCGGACGCCGGTGTTCTGGAGAAGAGCCGAGCTCCCGTTTTAACTCGGACGAGGAGGAGAAGGAAGAGAAGGAGAGGAAGGAGAAACCTCCAGGACTCTAAGATTAGAGCGGCTTCTTTCCTCCTCAGACCCCAGATAATCGCTTGTGAAATTGCTTCCGTTTACAGATGGAGAATTGGGAAAGGGCAGCTTCCAGCGCCACTCCTTTTCTTGATTTCTTCTGACTGTCACGTTTGAACGCTGGAAGACAGGCTATTTTAGCAATGTAGGTTTGGGGACTATTTCTCTGTAGAAGGACAAGGACACCTCCCTGGGGAAATCAGCAGCAGCATTTGATCATCTTTGGCTTAATTTCCTTTTGAGCGTCCTGGGGGAATGTTCTATATAAATGTTTGCTAGCTGTGCATTAACATTCATAGAGATTCCTTCCCCCCCCCCCACACTAAGTATGGATTTTTGGAGGACTGGCCTAAACTGAGTCAATCTATCTGAAAAACATCCCTATAGACATGCCTAGAATTGGAAGTACAAAACAAATCTAATATACTTTAAGTTTCATTCATTCATTCATTCATTCATTCACCAAATGCATGAGTTTCTTTCATGTGGTGCCAGAGACTGTACTTTTTTTTACTGAAGACCCTATATGGGCAAAAGTGCACCACCTGTCCTCAAGGGAGGTTATAGTCCACTGCTGGAAGTGCTGTTCATACCTCTAAAGTAGGGGGCTAGTTCTGGGTACCCTGGGAGGAGAGATGCCAAAACAGAACACATTCACGGATGAGAAGAAGCGCTGATCTGGATTTAGGATTGCATCTTATGCATGGATTGACAAAACTGAGAAGAATTAGGAACATACGCTGGTTATCTTCAGAAATTTGAAGAATTCTTATGTTAAAAGGAAGTAGTCTTAGTTGTTGAGTGAAAAGAAGTAAGAAAAAATGAGAATATTGGATGGAAGTTGTAAGAAGAGTACATTTCACCCAATTTCTGTGTGTGGGGGTGGGAGCATTGCTGTCAGGAAAGTGTCAAAACAGGGTATGGCCTGCTTCAGAAAGGAGTCAGATTCTCCATGCATTCAGTCAGTGTATATTAAGTGCCTAGTTTGTGGGAGGCATTGTGCCAAGCCCTGGAAACACAGCCAGAATTTGGTTGTTGCCATGATGAAACTCAAAACTAATAAAGAAGTGTGATGAGTTACAGAAAAAAAAAAAGGTATTTTGTGCATGAAGAAAAGAAATTTAACCTCATTATAGGAGTTTGGGAAGGACTTGATGATGGAGTGATGTTTCAAAGCTCAGAAATGGGTAGTTCACCGGGGATTGCTAAGTGCTTCTTAGAGCAAAAATAAATGTAAAGATTGTTAGAGAATTTATTTTGAAACCTGAAGGCTTGTGTTAAGCATGATCAGTTGTCTCTTTTTTTCTTGCTACATCCAAGGCCAATTGATAGTAAAGATTGCATCAACTAGATCTTGAGAACCCAAAGTCTAGAATTAGATCAGCTTTAGAACAAACAAGCGTTTGAACCCTAGTTTTACCTAATTATAGATTTTGTAGTCTTGGTTAAATTACTTTATCTCCCTGTAGTGGAGATTACTAGTGCTTATCCATATCCGTTTTTCTTCTTCCCACACAGGTTAAAGTCTGTACCTTTTCAGTTAGGTGTAATCATGTGAGCATTTGTAGCTAACAAAATACGAGTGGAAGTGGCATGTGCCGTTTCTCAGTGAAAAGGAAAGCAGCAAAAGATCTCACACGACCCTTCAGCATCCTCTTCTCCTGGCAGAGTAACCCTGAATGCCACAGGTTCTAGAGGACGGGATGAAAGCATCCTACACCCCAGAGTCATCTTATGGAGAGGACTTACTCTGAATAGTTGTCAGACTGGCAACAAACTGGTGACATAGCAGCAACAAAGCAATGTTGGGTTGTAGTCGATTAAGAATTTGAGGTCTGTTTGTTACTACAGCATGACCTATTCTACACTGACTGACACGTTCTCTGAGACTTGATACCCTCATCGGTGAAATGAAAAATAGCATTAACACAGTGGGGCCATTGGACGATTGTATTAACTACTCCATATCATGTATTTTCCAAGGATCTTGTTCCTCAGTATAATTAGTTCGTTCGTGGTAATTACTTTTTTGGTTAAATGAATCTACACATATATTACTAGTTTAAATATGCCTCATATGGTAGAGACTAAAATGCGTAGTCTGGTGGGAAACGAGTTAATAATATTGATTCAATTAATAGTATAGTGATAGTACTTGGTTCAATACCATTTAAGGACATTTTATTACTTTTATTATTTTTATTACAGTTCATTTTGATTAGTTGGAGATCTCAGAAAGATTGCATTTCCTAAAGGAGATTTTTTTAAAGGATACTTGGCACACTTAACTTACTTTTTTGTATCATTTGTAAAATTCTGTAAAGCTTAAAACTGAAATTTATTTCCTTGTTAAAATGCTTCCCTTCACTGCTCATGTACGCAGGCTCATGGTGTTGAGTTACTCATGAGTGATCAGCAGCTGCTGTTAATTTGTTTTGTGCTTTTTAGAAAAACTGTATTTTGTGTATATATGCATCTAGTTATTTTTTGCTCAAAATGACTATGTTAATCACTTTTGATTCACATGTTTATAGTGCCCTCTTAAGAATAAAAATGTACAATTGAATGCATACTGTCTTTTCCCCATCTCCCAGACTTTAAGCTTAAATTGATACAGTGTGGTTAGTAATAAAGCAGTAGAGGAACATGCAGCGTTTTGCTCCCTGTGAGAGGGGATGACATACTTAGATACTAATCCATTTAAAATTACTTAATTTTTAGAAGATAATTAGATACAAAAAGAGGAGATAACTAGATACAAAGAAAAATAGTTTAAGATAAACTAAGGAACCTAGATGAAAACTGTGTTTTCAAAATGTAATGAGTATACTTCGAGTATATAGTGTTACCCAGGGCATAGAGAGCAAAAGATCAAGTGACTTTTTGAGCCTCCTACAAATGTGTGGCTGATTTAGGGTCAAAATCCACATTTTTAGCTACTTCTTTGTCTATACTTTTTTCCCTAGGTGATGGCATATGTTTCTAAGATGTTAAATGCCTTTAAGGCAAGGATTCCCAAATTCTACCTTGTGCTCAGATTTTGCCTCTGAACTCCAGATTCACATCTCCAATTCTAATTACTGTTTCTGGCCTGACCTGCCAAACTCTTGATTCTGTGCCACAGCATTGCCCTCTCCCCAAGTCCTCTTCCAATTGCTCTCATTTCAATATGCAAACCACCTTCCATCCTGGAAACTCAGGATAAGATTTTTGATTTCTCCCTGACTTTTACCCCCATATCCAGTCCATTTTCATACAGTATTGATTTCACCTCCAAGATATTCCTTTAATCTTTTTTTTTTTCCTGTAGCTTCATGGCTACCACACTAGTGTGAGGTTCCTCAACCTCAAAACTTTTGATATTTGGTTGAGAAAATTATTCGTTGTGGGGGCTGTCCTGTGCATTGCAGGATGTTTAGCCACTTCCCTGAGCTCTATCCACTAGATGTCAGTAGTACCTTCCTCTCAAGTTGTAACAACCAAAAAATGTCTGCAGACATTGCCAAATGTCCTCTGAAATAGAAAATCATCCCAAGTTGAGAATCACTGCATCATCCAGATCACCATGATCCTCCCTCTGATCTGTTACAGTAGATTCTTCTCTGTCTCTCTCCCCACATTGGCCTCTTTCTATCCATTCAGCCCATTAGAATCTAAATCAACTACTCCCATTGTTTTACTTCACAATGGCCTGTCTAGGTCCCTCATGTGATGAGCAACTAATTATCTATTTACTTTATCATAAACTTTATTTACTTCATTATGAACTCAATATTATAAACCACAGCACTTAGCCCTTGCCTAGCACTTAGGGGGAACTTGATAAATACTCACTGCATGAATACATGAATGAATGATGTCTCATAAGCTTTACCACCTGCAGTTTATAAATGCCTATTTGTAAGACTGAACTGAATAATGAGCCAAATTTCTCTTTTGGTTTTACTCAAATCTATGTGGATCAGCTTTTGCTTAGTGTTACACTCAGGACATTAATGTATTATGCTGTGTCTAGCAAAACTGGAGTATAAA